TACACTCTTCAATTCACAGATTTCCTAACAAGCACTCATTTAGATGCTCTTCAAATTGCCAAGTTAAGACTATGGGGAAAACAGCAGTCAGAAAACAAAACAAAACAAAACAAAACAAAACCAAAAACAAAACAGGCCAAAGTACTTCAAAATACAGGAATCTTTCTGGATCATCAGTTCTCTATGTTCAAAGGAAAGAGCCATCACTTCTTTCTGAAGGAGGGACATTCAGGTGCTATGAGTAGGATCATAAAGGAAGGAGAATGGAGGAGCCACAGTGTCAGACATACTTGGCAAGGAGGTCAAGAGCTACCAACAACTAACTGCACTGCCAATTGTCAGTCCATTTCAGCAGAGTTTGACTTAACATCAATGAGTGTAAATCATTACCTGACTGGTATTACTGTTTGAGCTAGTCAAGTAACTAGGTGTCACCTGTCTTGTAACTTTTAACCGCCACTTAAATCCTCCTAGAAGCCTTTTGCATTAAGACATCTTAGACCAAAATATATACCAGCAAGAATACATCCACAATTGCAAAGCACAACAGTGTGATCTTGAACCTTATAGGCCTTCTGAATCACTAAAGGGGAACCTAAGCCAAGAAAATTAAAACTTGTTAGCTTTATTTTTCCATGAAATGCTAAAAATTTAATATGCAAATCAATAATAAAAACAAAGTATGATTCATGGAAGGACAAAAATATTATGATTCCAAGAACAATAAAATGTTTCTGGTGTGTAAAAAGTAGTTTTATTGTATATAGAAGATCACCCCCACATTTCTATACTGATCAACAAGACAATTTTCCACAAAAGCTAGACAACAGAAGGGAGGGAGGGAAAGCAGGAAGGAGGAGATACCAAATGTAATAGAAGGAAGAAGACATAAAGCATAGCATGAAGGCAGAAATGGAAGGGTAACTACAAAATTCTTATAAGAAAAACACCAATAAGAGGCTATTTTCCACATTCAACTTTCCTGAAGTTCTAAGTTGCCTACACCCTTTAATGTCAAAACCTGGTAGTCAGTTTGTAGATGGAAGATGGTAAACTGTTTAGAACCAGCCACGTGTCTTATATTTCATCTGGTTGCTCTTGAGTCTTGCCAATTTAAACTATGCTAATGCTAGTTTAGATCACCACCATACAACCCATAATAATGAAATTTCTACTCAAAAAGAACTACTTGAATGGCCTAGGCCTTAAATTTAGGTTTGGTTTTAGGATCAAATAGCTTAATAAATCTTTAAATCAGCTTTTCTTTAAAAATTGCACTGCAAACTCTGTAGAGCTATGGTAATTAATGTTGCTGGATAAACAATCATTTTAAGTAGTGATTACTTTTATTATGAATGGCCAAAATGGCTTACAATGAAGAAAACAATGTTTTAAAATTTGATAAAGTTTAAAATAAACTCACAAAACTGGTAAATTTGCTTAAGCAATTAAAAAGATCTCTCCCTTAGTCTATAATAGAACATGAGCTCCCTCTAAATGACTGATATTCAAATTTAGAGATAACAACCATGAATGTTGTACTCAGTTGTCACCCACTGTTTCTACTCAAGATGCCCTTGTCTTAGCTTTCTTTCACACTGTTAACAAAATCTCATCCTGATATCCAAGAAACAACAAAAAAGGGGGAAATAATTTTCTGTTTTTAAGGGGAAGAAAACATTAAAAGTATACTTTTATATCTAAAAAACTGGAGCTATGAAAGCTACCCAATTAATTTCAGGAAGCCCCATTCTAAAATCATCTGGAAATATGAGTATATACATGAAGGGGGAAAAAAACCTAATGGAAATACTGGAGAAGAGAGGATAAGCAATCTAAAGATAAAAATGATTTCATGCCCATGGTGGGGGTCACCATGGATGGCCAATTAAGCTAAAATGTCACGAGAGAAAAACGTGTTTAAAAAGTTTCATTGCCAAAACACAACATTGTAAAGCGTAGAAACAAAACTGAGATAACTTCTCCAAATATTAAGTTTCATTTAAAAAAAATCAGGAAGAAAAAAGATGACATTACATCTTTTCCAACATACTAAATCTTATGCTATGAAGTGCTTGGGCCACCAAATCCACCCAGATTATTCTCAACAGATTTATCTTCCCCACCCCCTTCCACCCAAATTTAGCTCCATTTTCCTGCAGAAAAATGTACAAATTCCTACAGTGGTAAGAACAAGAAATGAAAACAGTGAGTACAACTGATAAAGATCCATTGATTTTTATTACAAATGTACTTGATCACTTGGCTTCAAAAAGTTTAAAATCAATACCCTAATACTATATGCCAGTACAAAGCAAACTGTTTTACAAATTAAATACCTAAAAACTTGACAAAAATATTAAAATTTGATGAAAAACAATTATAAAAATTCTGAATCTCTTTCTTCAAAAAAAGGAGGCAGTCTTCCCAGACCTATCATACAATGTTAATAGTATTCAGCATTAGGTAGCTAAATTATATTTATGTCAGCATTAAAAGAAAAACTCTTAAACTAATAGATTTTATTTGTATATGCTTCAGTTAAGTTTGTGAATGCCATCTGATTGCAATATAATCAACTCTTTAATTGAATTCTAATTTACACTTATTTAATAATTTGCATAGCTTGAAAGGGATAAAGGTTATTCTACAACTAATTAACATAGACTATTACAGTGCTATTTCTCAAGGCAATAAATATTTGCTCCCAAATGAAATTATCTGTCTCCTTTCAGCAGGGGTTAAAATCACTAGCAGCTTTCTCCATTACCTGAAAAAAAAAAAAAAAAAAAAAATCCAAACTGGAATAGTTATCCATCTTTAGATAAAAAGGCCCAAACCAAAAACTGATACTTTCCATTTTGAGTCAAATATTAACCCCTGCGTGGAACTAGAAAGTGAGACTTTCAAGGTTTTTTAAATTTCCCACTGGTTTTGGTTTTTACTTTCCATGGCTTTTGAGAAGCTGGAAAAGTTTGTATTTCCTGACTACTTTGTCTTTTTTTTCTCATTTGGCAAATGTTCAACTACCTCCAAATGTGTGTCTAGTAGAGGAAAAGCCAACATGGCTTTCTTATGAACTTCCTTTGTTGTCAAAGGCATGTATGATGATTTCTATAGTTCTGGTTAGTTAACTTTAGCTCCCTCTGTGGCTGGATGACTGCTGCTTCTAACATCTGCATGATAAATAGGAGGCACAAATAAAAGGTAGCTTTAAAATGAGATTTGGTAATTTAAGGGGGGAAAACCCACAAATACCATCACCACCACCACCACCACCACCACCAACACACACACACACACACACACACACACACACACACACACTTTCTCCAAATTTGGTGGCTGCTTTCTGGATCAAATTACTTGACAGTGTCTCTCATTTTAAAGAACATCAATATCTCAATGCATTTCAAGTTTTCTTTTTTTTTACTTAGGCAAATAACATAGTTTAACCAAGCTCTTGGACCTTAATTGTAAGACAAAGCAGATCAATAAAAATAAGGCATACTTGTCATGAATTAAGTTCTGTTTGCTTGTTTTTGGCACATTTGATCATACTGTCTTCTATGAATAACACATATGGTCAAATATACCCCCCCTTTTCAGTACAAACTGGGGCTACTCACTAGTAAAATAAAAACGAGAAGAGACTCTAACATAATACACTGAAATATAGAACCTTGGTAAAGTACCGAGCACCTGGGAGGGGAAATGTAGGGGAAGGATGAAACAGGAGAAGGGGAGGGGAGGTTAGGAGGTCAATGGGGGGGGGGGGGGAGAAAGTGAGATGCTTTAAACAAAAAGAGCATCTTACAGTCACTCAGTCTTCACTATGACCACTTTTTAAGTCTTAAAAGATCTGCATGTGGGTTTCTTTTTAAACCCACTGACCATAAATCAGACAATGGATTCAAAGTCCTAGTAAGATTGTGTTTAACTGTTATAGTGTAAAGACAACAGCACAATACATGTGCTTCTTGATCCAGTAGGATTCCAAGCAGAATCTGAAGTCTATAGGTAAGAAAGGTTTCACTTCAGGCAGCTGACCCTAAAGAAAACCTTACGAAAGTACTTGCATCTCAAAGAAAGGACACTTTGCCTAAGTTTGCTGTGTTTTTGTTGACTTGCACTACTGACTGCTGGCTACTACAAAACACTGATCTAGGAGTACTCCAACAACTCGTAGCACAAGGCTTAACTTTAAGAAGCTATAGTAAACAAGAGACAAAATCAAAGCAATTCTCTTTCCTAATTAGAAACAGCACAGAGAATGCAATCTTTTTTCCATATCACAGTTAAAGTACAGTGAACAAAACAGCTCAACAAACCTTAAGACAAAAAGTGCAGGTTATTAATGTTTACATGCAGTTGATAAGCATTCCAAATGTCACATTATGCACTGTAAAAGCTCAACTTTACTATATGAAAATAATAAAAAATGCACCTTGGGGAAAGGGGAAAGCAATTTAATAATTTCCAGTGATTTTTGTAAGTAAAGAAACTCCTAACTATTGTACGGTCACCTCATATTTAACATTGTATGAATATGAAAAGCAAACAATGGGAAAACGCACAGTACAATGAAAATAGCTTGTTATTCAACACATACAGTAGATCTCAAAAACAAAGACAACACTCAACCAGAAAGCTTAAAAATATTAAATCAAAACCTAAAGAGCCAGCAGGGGGAAAAAAAAAATCCTTCAAAAAAGACAACTGTTCTGCCTTCCTAGGCGGATGCTTTCCAATGGGAAAGGTACTGACCTTCCCAGTCCTACAGGTGGTTTCTTCTACATACAGCAGGTAGATCTAGATGGCTGGATTTGCCAAGAAACAATTGCATGTCCAGAACTCTCTCTGTCAAGACAAGATCCAAGATCCTCTTTTTTTCTTTTTTCTTTTTTTACCAAAATACTTTCTACAGAATTCCAAACCAAAATGTACTGTATTTAAGGCATCTTTTTTTTTTTTTATAACATTTTCTCTTCACTCAAAGATGATAGTCATGCAGCAGTTTAATGATAAAAAATATATTAATATTTTACTATACAGCAGCAAGAAGTTAGTTGTCAATTAAAAGCACATAGACATCTTTAAATGAAAATCTGTAAAAGACTACCGTTACAAACAATTTCAGTGGAGGACACCAGCTTGGTAAAGTGCTCTCCTAAGCTTGCATTTTCATACCCTACACTTTGACTATGAGTGATAATAGATAGAACATACTTTTGACAGAAGGCTTGTACACTTGGGGAACACAAATACACTTACATATAATGTAGCCAGTAATAACTAGCACCACAGCTACATGGAAATCCTTTACATATACCAACTTGGCTTTCACTTTTAAATGAAACTCAGAATCCATGGCTCAGTAGGATAACTATAATGGTGTCGCTTTGCTTTTAAACAGGTCTACATAAGTTAATAGCACTGGCAAAAATCAAAGGATAGCTTCAGACCTCTTACAAGTTTAGGAGACAGTGCTAGTGACCACAAATAGACTCACTACCTGATATCCAAGTACAGGTTCACTGGAAATTGCTGCACGTTAGTTAGGTTTTTAAAATCTTTCTACACATAATAAAAAATATATATTATGAACAATACAAGTACATCTCATATACACAATAATAACAAAACACCTACTCAATCAAAGCAAACAGATGCAGAAAAATATTATGGGAATTTCCTTTTTCTTTCTCTTTTTTCTTTTACTATTTGAATAACTTTGGTTCCAACCATAAAAATCACAACTTAGCAAATTTCATTTAAATGCCTTTTTTAATAATTTCTTCATGTTCACAGAAGTTTCACTGACCATTTTTATATGTTTAAGGTCCAGATGCAATGCATATTGTATAAAAGAGAGCACTTATTGTTTACCTTGCATGAATTAAACCTACGTACCTTGAACTCTACAAACTTCTGCATAACATTTAGACAAAGCTCAGACACACAGCATGCCTAGCCCTCATATATATACACATCTCTAATCACAGGTATATAGGATGTCAAATATACTATAATAGCCTCCATGTAAGGTTTGAAATTTGGTAACAAAATGAGAAAAACTAAAAATATTATTTTACGTGTTCTAAAATATCTCTTTTTTTTTGTGCTAAAGTCAAATGTTAGCTCAACATGAAAAGGACTTTTTATATAATTCAGCAATATTATAATCTTGACCATTTTGCAAACACTTTTAATAATAATAGCTTAAACGTGTACAAAAGTTCTTGGTTAATTAGGGAAATAAACACTCAGTTCTTTATATTTTTTAATCAAGTAGGAAACACAGTTCATATAATGTTATTACTTTTTGTATATTTTTTTTTGTTTTTTGTTTTTAGCAGCTGCTTACTGTTTTACATGGTGGATAAAGTGGACAACATCCAGCGATGGGTGGCAAGTCAAGAAGAGAACTGTCAGTTGGTGGAGGTTCTGTGGGTGGTGCTCCCTTGGAGTTTAAGTTTTTTTTTTTTACTTTTTAACTTTTTATTTTCTCTTTACAGTATATTTTCTCTCTGTGTGTGGCTGTGTGTGTGTGTGTGTGTGTATACACGCACGTGTATGCGTGTGTATGCGTGTGTGTGTGTGTGTGTGTGTGTGTGTGTTTCATTCAGTTTGATCAATCTTCTTCTCCTTCTTCCTCGCCCTGCAGTAGCAGGGTGGCAGCGGTGGTCTCCTCCTGCTGCTGCTGCTGCTGCTGGTGGAGCTGCTCACAAGCTGCTCGCTTCTCCCTCTGCTTCTCTTGTATCTTCTTCATCTCCTCCGAGTACTTGCAGAAGGTGTGTCCGAACTTGGCCCACACCTTGTAGGGCACGGTGATGGAGTTGCGGTAGGTGGGCTTCACCTCACTGACTCGCATAAACACGCCGTACTTGTTGGAGCCCACATCGAAGAAGAAGCGCTTGTTGTCCACAGTCAAGGAGGTGCCCTCGGGCAGCTCGGCCGGCTCCTCCTCCACTCCATAGTCGTCGATGAGCTTGGCCAGGGCGTCACGGAACTCGATGAGCCCCTGTGCGGGCAGCGCAATGGTCTGGCCCTGCGTGGAGCCCAGGCCGGGCCCCCGGTTGACTGTCTGGCGGATGCGCAGGAAGCGGCCGCGCTGGTTCTCCTTGAGATCCATGTAGTACTTGCGGTTTTCGCGCACCAGGAACTCGCTCTTGAGCGCCCGGCGTGGCTCGTCCTGTGCCTGGGCCAGGTCGGGCGGCTGGCTGGGGCCCAGCTGAGCGTAGTGCTCGATGAAGTCGCCCAGGTAGTCGCGGAACTCCACGGCCACAGACATGGAGAGGGTGAGGCGGCTCTTGTTGCCGCCAGCGCCCACCTCAGCGATCTTCAGGAAACGGCCCTTAGCGTTCTGCTTCACGTCCAGGTAGAAACGCTTGTTCTGGATGTCCACCCGCTTGGAGGCCAGCTCCTGCGTCTCGTGCTGCAGCCCCCCCGGGGCCCCGCCGCCGCCGCCACTGCCGCCGCCGCCCCCGCCGCCACCACCGCCCCCGCCGGAGCCTGAGCCCGAGCCTGGGTGCCCTAGGGAGCCGCCCGAGCCCAGCGCCGCACCACCCTGCTCGCTGCCGCTGTCTCGGTCCGCCATGATGCTGCGCTCCGCCGCCGCGCCGCCGCCTGCCGCTCCGCCCGCCGCCTCAGTCGCCTGCTGCCGCCGCTGCTTTCCCTCCCCGGCTCCGCCTGCTGCCGCCGCAACCCCCACAGCCAGTCAGCCACTCTCGCGAGATCTGCGGGAGAGACGAGACAGACGAGACCCGGTAACAGGGCACTGACTCCCCAGTACAGTAGCAGGACGCCCTACTGTACGCGCCCACCCGCCCGCCGGCACGTGACTGCGCCCCTTCCCCAGGCCAGCCACCCTGCCCGCCTGCCCGCCAGGCGGCGCCCACCCACCGGCCCTCGCCCTACACCCCTCTCTGGAGGGGGGAGCGGGAGCGCCGCGTCGCAGTTCTGCTGCCACCGCAGCCTCTGCCACCACCACCGCCGTAGCTACCTCTGTTGCCCAGACCCTAAGCAGCCTCGACTGGGGGAGTCCGGGCACGGGGGGCATATGCCATATTAAGCACAGAGATCAGGCCTGACTCTGCTTTCCAGTGACCCCAAAGAGAAGATGTGGGGGAGGGGCCTGCGTAGCACAGCAGAGTAGGATGCAGAGGGTACACCGAGTCACGGCCTCCCTTTCCCCTGTGGGCCTGACCCAGACCCAAACCCAGACAGTGTCGCCCGCCACCCGGCAGGGCTGTCTCCTACCGCAGAGCCGTGGCCGAAGAGGCAGGCGAGGAAAAAGGAGGTGCTGCGGTGGTAAACCCTTAGCTGCAGAGGGGGCTGCTGGGGACGAGGACCGGGCGCCGGCAGCAGTGGCGCGGAGCAGCAGACACCTAGCCCGTCCCTCCCCTCTCCCTCCCCTCGCTCCCGCCGCTCCCCCTCCCCGCGCACGGCAGCGGCTCTGGCCTCAGATGATCCCGCTCCCCCCTCCCCCCAACCGCAGCCCCGCACAGTCGGGCGGGCGCACTCACCAGCGGGGGGAGCTGGGCTGAGGACAGTAGCCGCACCAGGGCTGGGGCGCCCGCAGTGCCTGTTTCCGTAGGCTATGCCCTTACTCCCAAATAATAATGGAAAAGAAACACACACTCACTCCCAAACCTGCTGCGAGACCCCTTTGGGACCACGACTGCTCATTTGCCTCCCCCCCCTCCTCCTTCTGAGATTTGGGAAGGGGGGCACCCTGCTTAGGGCTCAGCCCAGACTGGGTTGTTGGCCAGCTCTGCAGATGAACCAGGCCCTGCCGAGCATTCAGACCCCCAGCCCACTCTTCTTTGGAAGGACCCAGAATGGAGGAGAAAAACCAATCAGGCTTTCGGAAATTCATGAACTAAAAATGTCAGGAATTTCCTGGGAAACGCAGTTCCTTACGGGATTCATTAAAGCAGGTTCACTTACCCCTTTACTCTTCCTCCCCAAAACTCCCAATATCAAAGAGAGCCCCCTACCACCAGCAAAATATTAAAAGAGCTTGGATTTTGTGCAGACAGGTTACTGACCATTAATTGGCCAACCAGTCTTTGGATGGCGATAGCTAAAGAGGATCTTCTGTGAACACAGAAAGGGGTCCAAGAATAAAGATGGGGCTCAGAAATAAAAATTTTCTTCTTAAACTATAATCTAGGGTTCATTTTCCAACACCCAGGCAGATAGTGCTTGCTCGTACTCCCTTCACCGCAGTGTGCAGCCTTGACAGCTTTGGCAAAGCTAAGGCCTATTTCCTGGGGACTCTTGTCAATGACCCTAAACTCCATATTACTAGAGACAGATCATGCAGCCTTATCTCTGGCTTTTTCAACATAGATTGCAGCCTCTACCCTGGTAATATACCTATTCATCTGTGGGTTCCACTCCTGCTGAACTTCTCCTTTCCTTCCATAATAAGGAGATGCCTTCCCCCACTTAGCTGTAGAAACCGGTAACTAAATGGTTGTTCAACAGGGAAAGAATTAAAATTAGAACAGTCTAGGGTCAGGTGTCTTTCCAGTCCTGAGCCCACAAAGCCCCCTAATATGGCCTTTTATTTTGGGGGCAAACCTATCTTTGTCTTCTGCATCTCTGTCTTCTCCCATCCTCTGTCCCCAGCAAGAGCCCCGTTTTAGTTCGCTTTAGCCACATTCACTACTTCCCCACTAATGAGGAAGACACAGGGCAAAGAACCCTGGCCACCAAAGAGCAAACCAGGGAATTCTGTGAACTAGCCTGAGAAACCGACACCTGCATACAGTGATAACTGAAAGAGCTCCCTGAAGAGGAAGCTCACTTTGAAACAGAAACCTCTGCTATGGGCCTCACAAATTTAGAAGCAATCACTTACACATAGGGCCTTTTCAGTACTGGTTTTCTGCACTCTCTCCTCCATCCCCAAGTCTGTTGGGTTGAGGGAAACAGGAACTTTTAGAGGATTCCCTATCACAAAAAACAAATTCCCAAAGACACAGAGGTGCCTACAGGCTCCCTAAGTGTTCCTTGTAACAGTCAGGACCCTGGATAGACCCTCGGCATCTCCAGTAACCTAAATGCGGAGAGCCGTTATCTGCATAGAATTAAACTGAGAGGTCTCACGTTACCACAAGTAAACTGGGGGAAAGATCCAGTGAAGTCCGGGTCTGCAGTGACACCTGCCCTTCTACAAGAGTTTACTTTGCAAAGAACCAAACCCTACCCCCTAATGAGAGCTCAAGAAAGCAAGGCCAATGAGATTTTGGTGAGGCCGCCAGTCCCTACATTCTTCCAGGCTTGGAATTCGCTTTCCCGGACCAACTTCGCAAATTTAAATTTCTTGCTGTCCCAAACACTTATTTCCAGGGGTTCTGAAGCAGTCTGAATTTGAGAGTTCCCTGATTTTCTGGGGGAAAGGGGGAGTTATCACCAGGAATTGACTTCTTCCTCAGAGAAAAGGCAACTGATGAAGTTTCTAGGTAGAAGACAAATTAAGTATCATTTGAACACTTAAAAGTGGGAATTCTGAGTGAAAACCAGCAAATGACAGAGACTTCTGAATAATTATATGGTGGCTTTATACTATTCATTGAATATGTGATTTCTACCAGTACAAGCCAGCAGCTCTTCTTTATATCTAAAAGGTAAACAAGGCTGGTTTTCCCCATAAACAATTCAACAATAAGTTAGTTTACTACTTCACCAAGAGCGTCAATTTCAGGATAATCCTGTAAATGTGGGTTTTTTTTTTTCTTCTCTCAGACTAAAAGGTAAAAGGCAGCTTTCCTTAGGCTTCAGGTATTACATTCGTCTTAAAAGGCAGCCAGGAAGGAATGAATATCAACTCACAGGATAGTCTTAAAATATTTAGAACTTTAAGCAGAGTTAAAAAATTTTATCTGCATCCTAGCTTTGAAGATCTTTAAGAAAATTGTGGATTTAAAGAGACTTTAAGTCTTTGTTAACTACCTAAATATAGTAACTTGATAAATGAAAAATCTTTTCTAGTGTTTAGCTCTTTGAATTCATTACTTTAATACACATAGCTGTAAGACTACCTTTCATTACAATATAGAAAAAAACTAAAAAGAAACGAAATATGTACAGCAAAATATGCATATTAATGAAAAATCATCAAAAAGAAGTATTTCCCTTTCACTCAAAATTTGCTAACATTTACCTGATAAAGATTTCTAGGTCCTTTGAGCCCCCTTATTAACACTATATACACACTTTAAAGAGAATCAAGATTTTAAAAAATTTAATCACTGCATATTTATCAAACTTACCCTCATTTTTTCTTTTTTTGCACAGGACACAGATTCTGAGACAGAGCAAGAAGGGGGGGAAACCCCTCAGTTTTCCTCTGCCCTAACTACTGGTAATTCTGAAATAATGAAATTCATCTTTTATCTTTACAGAAAAAAAAACACATAGTTATAAAATAAACTTGAGAGGCTATTTACCTCTGAGCAGTGAACTCTTGATTGTAGAGTTTCCAACAGAACAAACAGGTTAATACTTTACAAAGCCCAAATCCCTCTTTTCCCCAAAAGATAAACCAGACAATTATCTTCAATACTTAAATCATTAAAAACAACCAAAATGCTAGGCTGCAAATATTCAAAGCAGAAGAATTCCCCATTTCTTGTGGTTCCTACTAAGTGAATTAAGGGACACTCACAACTAAACCTGAACATTAACATAATCATCTTACAGTATCAGTATTTCACGAATCCTTTTGAAGCTTTCAATAGCCTACCTATTCAAGAAAAATTAGCTTTCTTTGACAATGTATGAGTGTTTAGAATTAAAGATATGAACTAAATATTCAAATTCAGAAAAGAACTATTTAGTCAACTATAATTTTCGCATTTCCAAACGGTTTTCATTTTAAACATCTGCAGAAGAGTTAAATTTAGCACACATACTAAAATCCATAAACAATTCACAGAACCCGACATTTTATGGACCCCCCAGAGGTCCAAACAAAACCAATTCAAATGTCAAAAGCTCACTCTTCGTCTGATACTTAAATGATTTTACTAGTACTGTACTCAAAGAACCGAAATCAGCAACTTTCTCCATACTCTAGTCAACACTCCAATTTTCAAAACCGCAATTCCCTTAAGTCTTTTGGGCGGGGACAAAGGGGGTCTTAAAGTAAATCAAAATTTTCCTTTCCCCTCTGGCAATCTACCAAAAGATGCCAAATCAAATCCAGACTATTGTAAATCTCCCTTCCAAGGACAAGGGACCATAATGTAGACAACCACCGCTGCTCAAAGATGCTTTACAGCCTTTAGCTGGACAGAGCCGTAAGGGGCCCAGAGTCCCCTCAGAGACAACGAAAATAAGGTAGCATTTTTGGGGGGAGAGGGGCGACGGCCAACACCTCCCCAACACCTCCGTTATACCTTGCTGGTCTCTTGGGGCCTCTCAGGCTTATGGCACTTATATTTGTAGGATTCCTTTTCCTATATGACAAGCCACTTCTGGTCCTACTGTTGGTCTCAGTGAAGACCATCTAGTTTCACTTCACATCCCTCCCTCCCCCACCCTCCCAACCCTCCCACCCACCCCGCCCCAAAGTGGAGCTGGCTACTGAGAAGGGAGACCTAGCGCTGGAGCTAGTGCTTGGGTCACCCATCCTTGGGCCTGGCTTCATGTGCGATGTCAGCACCGATTTGTTTTGCCCTTAAAACAACAACAACGCACCCTGGGCGTGTGTAATTTGGGGGGGGGGGCGGAGCAGGAGAGGGGTTGGTAGTGGAATCATCTAATTTATAGATCTCTCCTTCTTCTTCCCACCTTCAGGGATGCTGTGCTGGGAGTGTTGGCCACGTCTGGCGCACGGTCCCAGGCCTCCGGGCCACGGTGGTGTGTGGGAATGGGATATGGGGGGGGGGGAGCGACGCATCATTGATAATCTCCAATGCCTGCGGGGGAGGGTTGTTTTTTAAGGGAGGGATGCTATGATGTTGTGGGAGGGGGTTCATTTGTTCACCTCCACCAGGCCCGAGGATGGGGGGGGGGCGTTGCTGCACTGCCTGGGTCTGCAATGGCACCACAATTATCCCTGGGCTGAGAGGGCAGTCGCAAGGGACAGGGTGGGCGGCACCTCGAGTGTGACAGTGACAGCAAGCAAGGTCGCGAGGGGCTTACCGGGGCTGGCGGGCGGGCGGGCTGGCGGGCGCTGTCCTGCCGCAGGTGAGGGAGGGCGCAGGCTGGAGGGAGGATGGCGCGCGCGAGGCGGGCGCGAGGAGGAGGGAGGGGGAGGCGCGCGCACACCTGTTCTGGCCGGCGCGCGAGCCGAACGGCGCCTCGCTCGGGCTCTCCGGGCTGAGCCGCGAGGAGGGCGGGCTGCGGGCTGCGGGCGGGGGCGGGGGCGGGGGCGGGGGCGGGCCGCGAGGGGAGGGGAGGGGAGGAGGCGGCGGCGGCGGCCGCGCGGCCGGCTCGGGCCTCGCTCGCTCGCTCGCTCGCTCCGGCTCTCGCTCCCGCGGGCAGGCCGGCCTGACACCCCGCTCCTCCCGCTCACTCACAGCCCCTTCGGCTCTCTCTGCTTCTCCTTCCCCAGCGGGATCCGCTCGCCGCCGCCGCCGCCACGGCGAGTCGTGGCAGCCAGACGTCGGCGCGTAACCCGGCGCTCCGTGCGTGACTCCCGGCGACGTCAGCGCGCGCCCCGCGCTGCCCACCCCCTCCGTGGCTCGCGCTCGCGGCTCCGTGGCTGCCGCGGTAGCCGAGCGCGCTCCCCGTTTCTGCCTCGCACGCGTGAGCGCGCCCTCGCCGCGGTTGGCGCGTCAACGCCGCAGCCCAGGCCCCAGGGCGCGTCTGCGGCCCGGGCCCGGGTGGTCGTTCTCTCCCCACCCCGCTCCCGGGGCGCCCCTAGGGGACTCACCCCTCGCCGGCCTTCTCGAGGCCCAGGCGGGGCTCGGGCCGGGGAGGAAGCCTGAAGGGCCTGCGCCAGCTCCGCGTTAGGGCCTCAGCGTCACTGCGGCTGCCGCCGCCACCGCGTCACACGCCCCCTCCCTCCACCCGGCTCGGATGCAGCGAGCCTTTCATCTCCCGGGAGGGTCTCACCTTGGCCTTCAGACGCCCGCCAAGAGGGGCTGGAGGGGCGGAATTAGCCACAGCTGAGAGCCTAGATGAGGCTCTTGCTCCAGGAACCACTGACAGGAAGTGTGGGGTTTCTGCCCAGCCTCCCACGCAGTGTAGGTGAAGCTGGGCCCCTTTGAGGGAATGTGACTAAGGACAAAACCCTGATAAAATATTATTTATGCGTCCTTGGGCAGAGGGAGAGAGAGAGAGTGAAAGGGGCGAGTTAATTTTCATAAATTACTATGCGATGGTGAAATCCAGGACTATACAATGCCCTTTAAGAGTGTTTATGAAATCTTAGCAACTTTGAGAAGATTTTTGGTGCACATAACATCTCAATCCTCAACACTACAAAGAACACAGATTTGCTAAAGATGGTCTGCAGAATAAATAACAATCTGCTTTCAACATCTTTATATAGCTCACCAAAAGAAATCACCCTATTATTTAGGAAAGTAAAGAGGTGAATAAAAAAAAAACAAAAGGAAACGACCCATTACTCATCAGCACATCTCAAAATTTTCTCGACTCTTTACGGATTAACGAATATATTGTTGCTTTGTTTTAAAGCACGAGAGTTACTAACTTAAATAACTGGCCAGATTTTAAGGTTATTTTGAATTATACAGGACAAATGCCCTGTTCTTAGGCAATAGAACTTTAAACTTCATTAATCTTCAAGAATTTTATCTAGTGAAACCTGTGAGTAAAGTAGAAATGATGCTTGATAAATCCTATTTTATAAATGAGGACTTTTGAGTTGGAAAAATTAGTTTTGTCCAGAATTTTAAGGACCGTTTCACCCATGAAGGAGAAAGCTCAAGTCATTGTGTCCATGACCCTCCATTGTGTCTTCAAAGTATCATTCGATGTCATATGTATATGAGAGCAGTTAAGGCCGAAAAGAATCAGAGGGAACACTTACAAGGTTTGAATTTGAGATCTGTGCTATAGACCATGATACTCAGTAATACATTGGGAAACAATTGAACTCACTTAAAAAAGCAACAAAATGTTTATTAATCTCTGGTTAGAGGCCAGAAAATGAGAAGGGCTGGAGAGTGGTGGGTCATTTTCTTTGTATTGCTTTTTTTATTCACTTCATCTTTAGGTGGCAGCACTACTATACAAATGTCTTTGAAACTAGAGTCTGTGCCCTGACATCCTGAAGTATTTTGTTCTAAATGTTTCCATTGTGGAAATTAGAAGCTGGTGAAAATATGACATTGGAGCTAAGAATTAGAGTGCTTGGGAGGTTCTGAAGAAGGCAGAAACTAATAAACTGCATGGAGTTATTGAAGGAAAGCCTAGAACTTTAGGACACATTTAAAGTGTGAGAAGCAGGTGGTGTTTATGAATGTGTCTTTTTATTAGAAAACAAGCCATGGTTTTACAATAGTTCATATTTTTCAAGTATAGTTTAAAATCACAACCCATGAGATGTTGGTTTTTTTTTAACTGCATTTTTTTTTCTTCTTAAATACAGGGTCTCACTAACTCTGGCTGAACTCACTATGTAGACAAGGTTGACCTTGAACTCAAAGGTCCTCTTGCTCTGCCTCTTGAGTGCTGACGTCTAACTGCAATTTTTAAATTTAAATACAATTTATTTTCAGTTATTCATTGTCAGGCTTAAGAATAAGCCCAAACAGTGCTTTATTGTTGACACTCATGAAAGAAAGTCTTCCCGGCTTCTTTTCTGGCTTTCTCATATCATTCATAAACAAAGTAAACATCGATCACTCAAACTTAGTGAAGTAAGACGACTGACTGAAATGGATGTAAAGTGATAGCAATTTACAAGTAATTCTATATCTTGTCCCACATTTTAGAGTCTCATGTAGCCTAGACTGGTACCAAATTCACTATCTATCCCACACATTTTTTGAAGATAATAAATTGTGATGTGTAGGAAATTTTTGGATCAAGTGTTCTCTAAACATGTTTGTCATAATTAATTTTGTTGATGTATAGTAGTTTTCTCCTTATCCCTTACCAAAGCAACCCAATAAAACTGAATTTACGTGTGTTTCAAAACAGCCTGCATTAGATTTACTGTGTAAACACAGCCACCAAGGGCTATAGAGGCATGACAACCAAGAGTGGGAAATCCAGTTATTTCTGGAGAAAGGATAAAGTCCTTCTTGATGATAGCTTCCATCTTTCTCAAGTCAAACTTGGAGGAGGGGTCTCGAGTGAATTGGTAGTTCTCAAACTCAGTGGTCTATTATGTTAAGATTTTAAAGCACTCTGGTGCCAGCAAATCATGCAGCTTAGGGCCTTTGTTCCAAACTTCTGCCAACACTATTTTGGCAGTAGAATGTTCTGTTGAACAAAGTTTGCACGTGTTTGGGGTGTGAAGTGGTTCCTCGGGCTTATGTTTTTATTCCAGTTTAGGGATTTGAAGACAAGGGTCAGAAGCATGAGACTGAGTTCATATGTGTCTTGAAAGAGACCAAGCAAACAATTTTGAATTTTCACTTGGACTATGATCAGCTTTTTCTTTATTGGTGTGAGAGTTAGTTGTACTTTTTAGTTTACTTTTTTTTGTTTTCTTCCGAGTCATGGTTTCTCTGTGTAGCTTTGTAGACCAGGCTGGCCTTGAACTCACAGAGGTCTGCCTGCCTCTGCCTCCCAAGCACTGGGATTAAAAGAGTGTGGCACTACTGCCTGGCTTTTTAGTTTACTTCTTAAATATTAACATGATTTTGAATCAGTTCTCATCAGCAGATAAATAAGTTCCTCTCTGTGGAGAGCTGGGGGACCTTTCTTCCTCCTCCTACCTTATAACACCACCACAATGGGTTTATTTAGATGACACTCACTAGCTAATGAGCAGCCTCAGAGCAATTCCACCAGTAATTAAGTTTGATCTCATGTATCAAATCCTATATAACTATGAGCCTCTGATTTTTTTTGGATCCAGTTGTTTGGTTTCATATATTTGACCTACTTCTTTCCAGCCTGGAATCTTTGCTTAGTGGAACATGGCACAAATGTATGTGCTAATTTGTTAAGGGGTTCCTCTTCTTGGAGGCATACAATCTATTTTTATTATTATTATTTTTTTTACCCTTTTTCTTTTCTTTAGACAATGTCTCACAACGTAACCCTGGCTGGTCCAAAATTTGATATACACAACAGGCTGTCCTTAAACTCAGAGATTCACCTACCTCTGCCTCCCAAATGATGGGATTAAAGTGTATACCACCATGCCTGGCTATTTTATTGCTTTTTCAAGTTAAAAGAAAAATTCAAGGGCTGGAGAGGTATCTCAGTGGTTAAGAGCAATGATCTGGGTTCAGGTCCCAGCTCACAACCATCTGTAATACTACTTCCAAGGGATCTGATGCTGCTTCTGACCCAGACTCCTTTGTTTATGTGGCACCACACATACACTCAGACTCATGCACATAAAAAAAGATCTTTACTGAGGCTGGGCAGTGGTGGTGCTCACCTTTAATCCCAGCACTCAGGAGGCAGAGGCAGGTGGAGCTATATGAGCTCAAGGCCAGCCTGGTCTACATAGTTTCAGGACAGCTAGGGAAGAAAAAGCCAGTGTTAAAAAAAAAAATTTTTTTTTAAATCTTTACTGATTTGGTGAGATAGATTTAGCCATTAAAGGCTATAATAGGAGTAGAAAAATAAAGGTAAATTTTTTTTCTTTTTCTTTTTTGAGATGAAGTCTCACTATAAAGGCTTGGCTAACCTAGATTTTGCTAAATAAACCAAGGTGGCATTGAATTCACAGAGATTCATCTGTCTCTGTTCCTGAGTGCTGTGATTAAAAGTATGTGCCATTAGGTCTTGCTAAAAGTAACAGACACTAAAATAATACAATTGTATCATACTTTCTATAATCAATGGAATATCAATGTTTAGGCTACAAGTACAGTAATTTGTAAGTGTTGGATAGTCCCCCCCCATACTTTTCCCAAGGGGATAAAATTTCTTTAAATTTTTTAAATGTTTCATTGTGTGTATATGTACACACACTTGTGTCAAAGGACAACTTGTGGGAACTAGTTCTCTCCTCCTACCTTGTGGGTCCTAGAGAGCAGAAACAAATTGTCAGGCTTGGCAGGTGCCTTTACCCACTGAGCCTTCTAACTGGCACCAAGAGTAATAACTTCTTCTTTATAGATTTCTTTTCCTTCTCTTTAAACTCAATTTAATTTTGTGTTTTTGAGGGTTTTGTTGTTATTTTGTTTTTGAGACATAGTCTTGCTGTATAGAACTGGTTGACCTGGAACTCACATTGTAGGTCAGGCTGGCCTCCACCTCAGAGCCTTGGCCTCAGCGGTGGTATGATCAAAGGTATATGTCATCATGTACAGTCTTAAAGTAATATAAAAACAGGCAAAAGCAAATCATATATTAAAATCAACATATGGATGAGCTGAGATATGGACAGGAAACCTGGGTCTTTCCAAAGTGTGAATCTGTGTGTTCAAAGTTGCTGGCATTGCACAGTTACTGAGTCATTCTTCTACTGCTTCTTTTAGAACAACAGTGTGTTCTAACTCTGAGTCTAACACTTGGCATTTTACAACCTGACCAGATGAACATCAGCAGAATTTCTATGTTCAGTAAAATGTTTGGGGTGGGGTGACAATAAGACAATAATTCAAATGCAAATACAAAGTAAGTTCAATATTTTTTGTGTTGTAATAATTGTTGTTGTTCTTCTTATTATTATCATTATTATTATTATTGGTTAGGTTCTGGAGGTTGAACATAGGGTCTTATGTGTGCTGCATGAATGTTCTACTACCAAGCTATGTATCCAGACTGTTATCTTTTATTTGTGTGTGAGTGCACTCTAATTCACACTTGTGTATGTAGAGGACAGCTTTTGGTGTCTTGTGCCCAAATTCTTAACCCTAAGATCACTAAGAGACCATTCTGATGGCAAAGCAAAGAGTCTTTTATTGTTTAACGAGTTAACTGCCTTAACTATTTCCCTCACCTGTGCAGCACAGAGGTTGGTGTGAGTCTTGGGATTGGTGCACTTCTGGGCTTGAGTGACCTGTCCTGTGTTAATTGATCGCCTATAGGCCTTCCCAGAGGGGTTGCTATGGCGTAACAACAGTTACATCACTTTTACTGTAAAGCACAACCAGAGACAGCCAGCTAACTT